AAAAAAATAAAAATGTAATTACCAACCTGCAATAATTTGTGCCAACCAATTCTGGATATTCGGCAATCTCTTTCATAAGACGTGCCCAGGTTAAACATGGTTTTCCCGACTTTGAAACGGCCGCTGTACCTCGATATTTTGAACCATTTTCCCAATAGCAATCTTCATTTTCATCAACTTCAATGGCAATGCCTAAGCTCGAACAATCGTTCATTTCGTCTGGTAAATTCGAACAATCTTCAATGGGTAACACTTGACCAATGGCCGGATGTCGTTTTGCAATTGCATACTCTTTTTGGCACAATTCATTTTCCAACAGTTCACATTCGTTGCGACAAATGCGTCGTAAATTGGATGTTGAACGTGCCGGTGGATAATTTGAATCGGGTGAATAAATCATCGAATGTGATATTGGCATTGCTTGTCTTAAATGTCGAAATTTTTCGGCCATATTACCAAAATTCAAATGTTCATCCCAGAAATCGCCCAAAAATCGTCGATTTCGTCGTGATTTATCGTTTTCATAATCATTGTATGGGCCATCTCTTGGTGGCAATGCATGTGTGTCGCCGTTCTCTCTTTGGTGTGAGTGTTTTTTTGATTTACGATCTCGTGATTTTTGCGATTTTTTCGGTCTTGGTTTGACCGTTGTTGGAAAATCGGTTAAATTTAAATGTTTTTCCTGAGTTATTGTAAGGTGTGATTCAAGATGGGTACTTTTTGTTTCTTGTGTTGTTGATTTGGTCGAGGTAATTGTTGTGGTTTCTGGTATAACTACTGCTGCTGCTGCTGCTGCTGTCGTTAATGACGACGATGGCAATGTCGTTGTTGTCATCGTTGTTGTTGTTCTTTTTGTTGACGTTGTTGAAGCAATTGTAGTTGTAGCCAAAGCGGCTGCCGCCAATTCCAATTTTCGAAGTCGTTCTTTCTCCTTTTGCAATGCAATATTTCGAAAATATTGATGATTTGTTTTCTCCGGTGTACGACAAATTGGCAATACACTAAAACACAAACTGGGCAAAGCAAAGCCACGGCAATTTGGATTCATGTCCTTTGATTCTTTGATAACACCATAATAGGCCACCTTTAAATTATCTTCTAAACTTTCCAATGTCAAATGTGGCGGCACAAATACCGTTTGATTCTTAAGAAATGGTTCACATGTTGAACCCGTGTATAATTGGCATATGCCTTTTGGTAACTATTGGAAGAAGAAAAAGAAACAATCAAATGGGATAAAAAATCAACATGCAAATTGAAAAAAAAGACATTAACAAAAGTCAATGAAGAGGCAGAAATGCAAATGAAAAAAACCCCAAGTGAATAAAAACTAACCGTTGTTGGATAATCATCTGAAGTAAATGGCATAATGACTGGTTGAATGTCCATTGTGTTTCGCTTGTGCAAGCGATTTTTCGCGCTCATCGTCATTTGATCATATCGAAAGTTTCTCCTGTTCGAAACAAACACCAACGATAGAAGAAAAAAAAGTAGCGATAAGGAAAATTCCAATGAATAGAGAAAAAAAAGAGTGGTAAACTTGTATTTTAAACACAGTTTCAGCGAGCATTCATCGGTTTGTTGTAACAACAATGAAGCGAATAAAATAACTTTTTTAATTAACACTTACGAATCAGTATCAGCAGCAACACCAACAGCATCAATAATGTTATGATTCTTGTATGTGCAAATTAATAATAAATGAAAATTAGTTGAGTAATTAATTAATTAGTGTTAAATCGTTTTATGTATAAATACATATATATAAATGAATTGCTCGATTAAAGGCTTGGTGTAAATTGGTGCCCGCTCCCCGATGTTTTTTTTAAGAGAAAAAAGTGCTTTCATTATCGCTAATTGAGTTTGAGCTGACGGTTAAAAACTATTTGTTGACCAGTTGATCGGAATTGCTACCGGGCAATCATTTTAAAAACTTTATCGCCCGCACAATTTTGGTGCGTGTTTATTTTTTTTCGTCTTTCCACTTTATATCGTTTATGCACAAATACTTCCGATCGATTTTCAATATGCAGGGGGATAAACTATTTAAAACAATGTAGTTTTGTGGAAGAGGCGAACAGAACAAAAAAAAATATAGAGTACAAACAAAAGGCAAAACATTTACCAGCAATAAATGGGATCCAGCATCGTTCGATGAACAGTTCACATGATTCAATTGCAGGAATATTGCAACGAATATGAGTTTATGGAGACTAGCAATTGCCGCAATCATTATCGACACAATAGAATGCAGTGTAAATGAACATGGAATCTGAAGTGAAACCACACACAAACCGAAAACACTGAAGTTCACACACGAGCGAGAGAAAAAAAAAAACCACCGAGAAATAACAACACTCAATGCACACTCTGCTATGCTATCGAAACACAATCACTTTTAATTGGTACGGTTTTTTTCTCTGTTCCGTATGCAGCAGCCCTTATTTGTTCGTTTATTGAATTATTTTTTTTTGTTTGTTTGTCGATGAAAATAGGTTGTCGATAGGTTTCCATAAAATTTTGATCGAATTTAAATATTGTAAACCGTATGAATCCGCGAGTTGATGTGACGGTGTGGTGCTTCAGCACAGATACGCACACACACTGTTGTCGAAAACAAAAAAAAATTGATAAAATACTTGTTCTTTATTACGCTGCAATGTGACGGTCGATGAATGTGAATATATTCGCATATGTATAGAGTTTGAATTGTAATTCATTTAATGATTGAATTGAAATATTTTATTTTCAAAAGCCGATTAATCTACAACGACACACGGCCCATTATCACTGCAGAGAAATTCTGATATAGCGGCGAAACAGCAACCGAATTTTTTTTTATATCATTCTGCACAAAGTGTTTACTAGACACACAGAGAGACTGTGTGTATAATATATATGTATGTGTGTATGTTTTTTGTTGCTATGAATCCATGTCCACAATTTACATACAATCATACGGCTTTATGCAGGTTCATTCGACAAATATGGTATAAGTTTGAGTTATGGGTTGTTGTTTTTTTTCTTGCATTTGCAAATAAATTCACATAGAAACACACTCAATCTACACTATTTTTCACAATATTAGCTCAAGTGGTGAAACTGAAACATATATTTTGTATATAGATAGATAAAAAAAGCATAATGCACATTACACAAAATGAGCTTTCAAATTGTTTGAACAAAATGCATAATAAGAACAGAAAGAGAGTTAAAAGCGAAAAACTAGTGGCAAAAGTATAATATCTACTATCCACTTCACGCGTACAAAGTACTAACAATAAATAGAGTCATCCAAATGAGACTTAATCCATTGTGCTTCGTGCGGTTCTCTTTTTTTCGTCGTTGACGTTGTCGTCGTAGTTTCTTGTTCCTCTTTATGTTTTATGTGGTTCGTTTTTTTCTCTCTCTTCTGGTTGTATGCACTCGAACTGTGTGTACACGTTTTTAATTCGAATTTGTTGTTGTCACTGTGTTGCTTTTCATCGAGCATTCAAATCTCGGTTCTATTACATACATCGGCGGTATTTTTGTCGTTGCTATTGTTGTTGTTATTCCCGAAGTAGCGCGCGCGTTTTCGGCGTGTGTTGCAAAAAAAAATTAAGTTGTCCAAAATGGTACAAATGATCTAATGCTGTTTGTGCTGTGAATGCACACACGATGTCAATGTCGCTGATTCATATGCCAAGTATAAGCAGCAGGAGACCAGTATATACAAACATTCAGTATAATGTATATTCAAATTCTATTGCTTACTTCCTATGCCTATGTATTCAGTTTTATTATCCACACAATTTAGTTGTATCTTCATTGTGCTTTGACGTGTTTCCTTCGATCTTTCCTCTGTCATCAGCGAAAATAACTTTTCCAAACAATGCCAAATTCCACTTTTGAATCACACTTTAAATCCGCCTAATAAAATTCAGATTAAAAAAAAAAACAGCAAAAAACTCCAAAATCGAATGAATATTTTAGCCAAAGCGAGCTAAACTTTTGTTTGATGCATGAAAATGGTAAGGTACAAAATTCAGCCGAACTGCGACTTTTTGTGTGTAAATAACCGAAATGGATTTGTTGTTTTGTGCTCATGGGGCGCAAGTGAGCGAACAAAAGCGAATAAGTAAGCAATCAAAAATAGCAATTGTGGATTTAGGTAGGCAAATACGGATGAATGAAGTGAATGGGATGTAAGAAAATCGGTTTTTCTCCTCTCTATAGTTTTTCACTCAACTCTTTCTTTCGGAACGGGAAGAATGTTATCGTTTTATCCGTTTTTTGGCAATGTACGGTCCATTCGACACATCAACACACACTCAACAATCCAATCGAAAAAACAACAACGATGGAAACGATGCGAATCAATCTGCAAACATATTTCATTCGTTCTTCTCTATCTCTTGTGTAGCCTGCTAACACATCCCGACTACGATAAAAATCCTTTGGTGTTTTCCATTTAACTTTTGCACACACAACAAAAAAGAAACACACACAAGAAACAACAGTGCAAATGGAGTAAAGTTGAATTTACACTTTACAACAAAATGACATACAACACTGTACACAGTTCAAATACAATGTTCAAGTCGAATGGTTGGTCTTGGCAGGATCAAATAAATTGTACTAATTTAATTCAAATATGTTGTGTATCAAATGGAATGAATCGATGCCTAATGGGACAAACACACCGGAGACTGAGAATAGAGCGGACACCACCATCGAAGGATATGGGGATACGATAGACGCTACTATTACTGCGCTCTCTTTCACAAAACTTTTGCAATACAAATTCACTTCAGGCAGTCTTTAATTCACTTTAGATAGATATGACGAAAATATTTCCGACAAATCTATTTATCTATTTAGCTAATTTCGATTTATTTTATTCACTTTTCGGCAAACAAATGAAATTTTTTTTGCACATTCGTAAAGAGTGTAAATATACGCGCACACAAAATACCTAACAACGAAACAGTACCATCGATAGCGAGAGCATACACTCGCTTAACACTCACTCTCGTTCACAATCACAATCGAGAATGAATGTGCTGAGCCACAGAGATAAAAAAAACACAAAACGTATACAAGAAAGGAGAGCTAAAGGCGAAACGGAAGGGAACGGCAGAAGGAAACACAGCACACAGGCAAAACACAACTCATTGACGGTCTCTCGGATCTCTCAGCGTACTTTTATGTGATATATATATATATATATATATATATATATATATATGCATGCCATATTCCTTCTTGTGCGCGCTCACTCACTCGCTCGCTGTACACCGACCATGAAAATCCATTGCCGATTAACCGTATGAATTTGAACCAAAGAGGGGGAGAGCCTGCTCAAAAACCAACTCGCAAATGTACATTACCGTCTCTCTCTCTATATATATAGTATGCACAACTATACTCGATGTGCACACTGTACAGAAATAACAACAACTACATATAGAATCTACAGTGTACACGATTGCTACGATTATCATAAAATACCGATTTGAACATTTTCCACGATTCCTTGCCGCACATAAAAACACACTCACACACACGTACACCTCTGTGTACACATGTACACAAGTATTCAGATGCGCGCTACCAAACATATTAAAAACGAATGGATGATACAAATATAGCTAGAATATAACCTATAACGGTGTACAGGGACTCGATTTCAACTGGATATGATGATTTTTTTTTGGAAAATTCGAGAAATTCAATTTTCTCATCTTTGGTTGCTTTTTGGCTACTTTTTTTTTCTTTCTATGGAATGATGGTCATCGAAGCGCATAGATAATTTGATCCTTTGAATGTCTATTCTTAAGTAAATTTGTTAATAAATCCGATTAGAATCAAATTTGTATCAAGCCGCATGGTAACTTTAGTTCATTTTTCGTGTGACTAAATTTAATCGTTATTTTTCCTCCATGGCCATTTAATGTTAATCGCATTTATTATTGCGAATTTCCGAACATCAGTGTGTTAACAAAAATCAATTTGTATTTGGTGTACATTGTGAATGGTTTGGTCCCTGAATTGTCAGACTATGCGTACAGTAACATGCAAAAGTTCAAACAAGGGATGAATTGATTGTATTTTGCTGCAATCGTTTTTACATTTATACGTATTGTCGTTTATGTTGCTATTGTTGTTGTTGTTATTATAACTACTGTTGATGTGTCGTCGTTGAACGTAACGCGTTGGTCGTGAGTGAATATAGTATATGTACTACCGGTGCACAATGATGTTATGATATGTACGACGTACGTACATTCAGCGATAATACACACCAATATCACTACCATATCGTCACCGCCACCGCCATCGCCACCATCTATAATGAATCGCGCGCGCTTCATGAAGTGAATCAAACACGCATCTTTTATGGTGCGGCAAATGTGCGACCACGCGCGCACAATTACATAGACACTCATCGTTTGCGTGCGTGCTCATTTGAATGCATTTGTTACAGAACACTATGACGACCGAAGCCGAAGAATCAAGTTGGAAAGTGTGTATCGACTTCGATATGGATCGCGCTCATGATGCTCTGTCGTGTGTATGGTGCGCTCTTGCGCGTATAAAATAGAAGGTGTAGACAATGGAAAACCAACATTGAAAAATAGGGGATATGATTCAGTTTTTGTGTTGTATTTTTCCTTTTTTTGTATTCGGTCCTTTCTTTTCTTTGCCATATTCTTTTTCTTGTTTTCAATTTTTGTGTCATATTGAATCATGCGATGAAGTTTTCCATGAAATATACTGCCAAACAACAAGAAAACATGACAAAAGCGAATGCGAACAAAGCACGCGCGCGCGCGCGCTCGTCAATGACAAGAAAAGCCAAAAAATGACGATATGATGACCGAGAGAGCAGAGCAAGGTAGAGAACTGAAAGTTTTTTGACGAATAAAAAAATAAATAAATAAAAGAGAGTTTCGAAACACACATAAAATGCATTGTACATTAAAAAATTATACTAAAGGGAATGTGCTGTTCATTCAACTGTTGTTTCCTCTTTCTCTTTTATTTTCTGAATCTGTGATATTTGTCCATGATATCTTTTTTTTCGTCGACCATAACGCACAATATAATGGCTTTTGTGTGTTTCGCATATCTCTTTTCCATCCATGTGCATATAAAACTGTTCATGGAAAACAAAATACGGAATATTGTCACTTTTCTATGTGCCGGTTACGGTCGTTCTTCGATGGTTTTGGTGTTTTTCTTCATTCGTTGCGTTCAACAGCGGGCTCTTGCTCTCTCTGGTTCGTCGCTTCAGTTTATGCAAAACTGAATGAATAACAGTGCTCTCTCGGTAATTGTTTTCGATGAATGAATGCGGACTTGATTCGCTTTATGCGAAACACATTTTCATTTGTTATGTGTACTGTTCATTTTTTGTTTTTGTGTGTTTCTGTTGCGCTCTCGCGTTCGGTACATGCAAATTGCGAGCCTGTCAATGAAACAAGAAAAAAAAACAGAACCAACAAAAAAAGACTCGAGAGAGGCGTAAACGAAAAAAATATATTAAAGAATTAACAAGGATTCTTCAGTATTTATAGTAGTACATTCGGCTCTTCTGTAACTCTCTTTCTCCCTCTTGTAAACGCTACGACATCATTAAATACAATGTGATTTTTTTGCTACTGTTGCTGTCTTTCGTTTTGCTGGGATTTTTCTATTTTTTTTTAGAACACCGTGCTGCTCTCGTCTTCTTGAGCAATATACGATATCTGTCTCTCTCTATCTCTCGCCCACTCATTCTTTGATTTTACTCGTATACACGGTCCAATATATGTTGATTTTCATTTAAACCGAAACGAGAGTGCACTTAAGATCGTTTATGTTATTCAACCAAATAGAGATTTTTCCACCCAGTAGTGCAATCCCTGTGTGTCAATTATCACAATATTTTCACTGTTGCCTGTTTATAGTGCACATTTCTATATGCACTCACACATACGCGTTGCCATCATCATCATCAAGCGAATGAATGCATTTCCCAATGACTCATTCTCATCAACATTTTTTTCCCTTCTGGCCTAATGCCTGTCGCTGTTGTATTCTATCGTGCTCATGCCACAGTCTATAATATGCACTGTGGAAAACTGCAGCAGCTGCTGCATTTGTGAATATGTTTTAGTGTAGGCAGGCATGTTTAGCATTTTTATGTGTAGCATGTTCGTTCTTAAAATAGAGACGTAGCCACATTAATCATTCAAATTACCTTAGTGCTGTCATCATAAACACCGGATGGATAATATAGCAAATTTCGAATTTCAAATTAGCTGCATTGTTTAGTGTCTAACTATTACCATCTTTTGCATGTCGTTTGGATTCGTTTGACAACATTAAAGGCGCTAGACTGCCATGAATCTCTTCCTTTTATTGTTTCATCTTCTCTTGCTTTTTCAAGTACACGCTTACGATGCTCTATCTCTCCTCTGTCCATCCACATTCCGTTTCTTTATCGTTTATCGATGTGGAAATAGAAACATCTTGGAAATGGTATGTTTGTTGTTATTGCAGCATATACACTTCTCTATCAACGACGATGTTTAAATATTGGCACTTACATTTGACACAAAGTAATTTTGTTAATTTCAGAATGACTTAAAGCTTATGCCTCTCAAGAGCATTGATGCATTTGAATAAACATTGTGTGTGTGTGTGTGTGTGTGTGTGTGAACATGTGACTAATGTGAAAAGATGGAAAATGGAAATGGTGTAGCAACGGAACATAAGGAATTCATGATATGGAAACTCTTAAATACAATAAAGTAACACGAAATTCAATAAAAAAATAAACACGTAGGGGATTTTTCTTTTCTTCCATCATTATAGTAATTATTTATTTTTGGCTTTCTTCTTTTTATGAAATGTCATCTTTTTTTCTTTGTTTTTGTTTTTAACTATATGATGTCTGCATATTTGTTTATTAAATTGTATTTTTGTGATATTTCGATGGGTAATGAAAAAGAAATGTTGAGACTCTGAGTTGGATTTTAGTTCTACTTCAACATTTTGAATCTGACTTTATTGGTTTGAATGTTTCTTTCATCATATTCTTATGATATTCGAATATATTTAAATATACGGCGCTTGGTACAGTAATTTTATCTAAAAAAAATGAAAATAAGCAATTCCATTAAAAACAGGATTTTCTCAAGAAATAATTGAAACAAGAATTAAGTTTATAGTTTTCAGTGGGGTTTGATTACGAAAGTTTAACGCATTTACGTCGTCAATCAATGAATTCGATACTTCCTCATTGGCTGAAAAGTGAATACATTAGGATTGCTTATATTTGCTTAGATGGATGCATGAAGTGGAGTTAAAAAAATTCTCATTTTCCTTGGAATTGACATTTGCTCCGTATTCAATCAGATATTCAGTTAATTTCCTTGTACCGTTTCACGGCGCTAACGTGATTTTAATATTTTGCGGAATAATCATACGCGGTAAAAGTAAATGGGATAACGTCCATTTATCGGAATAACATATAGAGGTGTTTCACCTCTAATGGATCTATTTTTGGCATGCACATTAGCTCATGTGCAATTACACGTTTCCAAATTGCCTGACTTAAAAATTTACCAAAAACAGCGCTTAACACAAGGTGTTAGACGGTTATCGATAAATTGCTATATCGACTTTAATGTTTTTAATTTATTCAATAACATTGAATTTACCTTGTATATTTTTACCAAAAACACGCGCAGCCCAATACTAGAACTGAAGTAATTGCCAACGGGCCAATAGTACGCAACATGTTGGACTGTAACATGTGTTTGAACTTCAGCATAAATTGAAAATGTACAGGGTGGGCCAGAATAACTGAAGGGTTTTTACTTAACATTCTTACGACTGTACAATGACTTTTGATTCACCCGGTCTTGCACCGCTATGTTTGTTGACCCTTAGCCTAACTATTATGATAATGTGTATTTTGATTCATTGTTTATTTGAGCGAACAGGTTTGCATGACATTTATTGAACGTACTATCAAACGATACAAGGAACGTGGAACTGTCGACATACAAAAGAAACCCGGGAGAAAAAGATCCGTTCGTACAAAAGCACTCATCAAACAAGTCAAAGCCGAAATTCGCCGAAATCGCCAAAGAAGTGCCAGAAAGCTGGCTCAAGAGCACAATATTAGCCGGTCTAGAAGACTTAAACACGACACCTTTCAAAAAACGCCGTCGACATGGTCTTACGATCAAAAATATGCAAGCCAGAAAACATAAATGCAAAGAACTGTTGCGCCGGCACGCCTATTCAAATATCGTTTTTTCGGATGAAAAGTTGTTCTTGCTACAGCCAAGTCTCAATGCACAAAATGATCGTGTGTACGCAGTGTCTGCAATTGACATTCCTGAATACGAAAAGACCGTTAAACGTTTTCAGAATGTTCCAAAAGTGATGGTTTGGGGCGCATTTTCGGCCGATCGAAAATTTCCTCTGGTTTTCATAGAAAAAGACGTAAAAATCAACGCTAGATTTTATAAACAAGAAATATTGTGCAAAAACTTGTTGCCACAACGAGAGGGAAACCACGGATTCTAATATGTGCTAATTTTTTCTAATTATTCTAGTAAAACGCCATATGACATGTACATTTGACATCTTTCTAATATGTTCTAGTTTTTCTAGTATCGAGTTCGTGGGTAACCCCAAGTGCCACAAGCTAAGAGATTGTTTCGAAACGAACCATGGGTGGCGCACTTCAGCAGGATGGCGCACTTGCACACCGAGCTAAAACAGTGCAACAGTGGTTACGAACAAATTTGGCCGACTCGTTTTCAACACGTCTGAAGCTGGTAATCAAACAAAACGGTGCAAGAATAAAATCCAAAGGCTAAATCTAAAAATTTATGTTAAATCCTACTAGAATTTTTTTTTCATTTTATTCAAAAATGTGTTTTTTAGAGCCAAAAATACACCCTTCAGTTATTCTGGCCCACCCTGTAAATTTCACAAATAGCTGACAATTTACTTGCAAACGTTCGATACCGTTGAAACTCAAACAAAAATTGGATTTGACCTACTAAATAATACGAGTCATATAATAGTAAATGCGATTCAATTTTTTATTTTTGAATCTTAAAGAAATGTGATACATCAGCAGCCAATTTTGAAAAAACACGATTTTTTTCATCATTATAGTAATTATTTATTTTCAGTTGTTTTTCTTTTTATGAAATATAATAGTTTTTTTTTGTCTTGTTTTTCTAACATACTATCCGGAGTCTGCATTTTTGTTCATTAAAATGTATTTTTTTTAAGTTTTGTTTTGTAAAAATCATTTTCCTTAAAGAGAAAAAAAAGAGACATGGATAAAAAATAAAATAGAAACACTGTGGAAAACGGTAATGATTTGTGTAATGTGTAATGTGTAATATATATATTGTATAATGTATATATAGATTAACATATAGATTAACGGTGCTCCGTGTCAATCGATTTGGCATATTGATTTAAATTGTTTTATGTTTGTTTAAATGTTAATTTAAGTTAAGGCCATATTTTTGTTTGTTTGTTGTGTTGCTGTAATAGACTGAATTCCAAAAATTTTACATTGTTGAAAAATGTATGAGTTGAATTTTATTTTCAAAAATAGCTTTAAAACATTCCCCAGCTGTTTACAATTTCAAAACTTTTTTTTAGAAAAGACTTATTTCAATAAAAAATTGTCATAATTGGTAATTAATTTTTTTCTGCTATGGAAAAGTAACAATTGGAAAGTGAAGGATAACAATAAAAAAAGAAATTTATGCGTATGCAAATTTTAACCAAATGCATGTTGGCCGTCTTGCTCATGATGTATGTATGACATTTGCATTTTGGTGTGGGTTCATTTGAATAAAATCTGCAGTAATGGAGTTGAAAATTTGAAATTGCCTAGTTTACATACAATATAGATAGATTTGAACTGTATTGGCAGACGATACACACAAGTACGCCCCACAAAAAAAAACAACAACAACAACAACACTCATACTGAATCAATAAACAACAATGATCATCTGCATATTAACAGTGACAGACGAGTAATTGAATTTCGTTCGCCCTCTTCTTTTGCTCATCCCATTTGCGATGGTGTTTGTATTGTGTGATGTAGTAGACGCGTTCTGAAGATTGCCTGCTTCGACTGGTATATTTAATGCCCTATGCAATAGAGCATCAACAAACCGAAATTTCTGTTGTTGAGTGCATTTTGAGAGAAATAATTTGAATAGCGATAAAATAAAAGACACACACACATTGAGAGAAGGAAAATAAAATGTTGACTGAAGCGTTTCATAGGTTATGGCTGGGTGGTATTGATTTGCACAATGCATTATGGATTGCAGCATCATAAATTTTCTCGACGATTTTACGCGATTGAATTTTGGTGTATATGGAGTTTTTTTCTACGTCGGGCGAATGATGATTATTTTTTTTTTTTTCTCGAGTGGTTTTTGTCTCTGCTGATGGATGATGAAGATGTTAATGATAATGATTCAACGAAACGATGTATTTTTTTCATTTATTCTGACATTCGTTGACGCTTACAATCTGTGTATAGTAAACTATTTATAACCGGTGACATACTTCGATCCCGGCTTGCATGCTCATTGCCATTACTATTACCGTGTGACTGAAATTGAAATGGATACGTATGTATGTGTGTGAGAGTGAGATTAATTTAAATCAATTTGTATATCAACAAAATGATATTATTTAAAAGGGTGAATACTCACTGTTGTGTTAATGGTGTTATTTATTGATGTATTTATACTGATACCGCCGTTATTTTCTTGTTCTTCTAAAAATCGATCCATATAATCGGTGAGCCCTGGATGTAAGTTGTATTTTTTCTTCTCAAGACGTGCTTTATTCGCAAATATATCATGTCGTTCGGTTTTTTTCCACAAATAATAAAATTGAACGAGTTCACTAACTGATCGTGTTCGCACCTTTGACTGTTGAATTGCATGAAAATCTTTGCCATATACACGTAAACCACTCTCAAAATTCCGACACTCTTCTTCCGACCATAGGGTATTTTCGATGGGCGATTGATTCGATGCGGTTGCTGCAACGGCCACCGCTGTTTGCGGTATTGTTGCATTTAAACGCCTTCGACGCAACGCCTCTTCTGTATTATGACCACATTGAAGCAATAAGAATAATGAACCTTCGTCATCACGAAGATGAACACCGTTTGGTAGTGTTAATGATGGTTTTTGATTCGAACATTGTGATATTGGCGATGCCGGCGATTGTGATGATGGTGAACCAACAATTACTGGTATGCTCGCTTTTTGTAAATACGATTCAATATCACATTCTTGCAATTGAGATGGATCCCAAACCAATTTATCCTCATTTTCATATGGTAACGCATCGTCGTAACGACACAAACCTTCGGGAATTTGAGCTTGATACTCACTGCCAACCATGATTTTCTGTAAATAACGCATATAAATGATTACATTTTTTTTATATAATAAAACACCTTTTTATGGTTGTAAGAGAAAATAATAAAAGAATGTACCTTTTTAAATTCATCCTCTTCCGGACTATAATCAATGTCCTCTTCTTCTTCGTCGTCACTGTTTGGCTGAGAACTAGCTGTGAATAAAAATGATTTTTTTCAATTTAATAATTTTTCAATTCAATAGAGTTTGGGAACCACTGTTACCGATTACATACAATATAGTCAGAGATAACTTACCTCGTAAAAGTCGTGGCTCATTGGTTTTATACGTTTCGGGATATAGTTTTTTCAATTCAGACTCCTCCTCTTCGGATTCTTCTTCATCTAGAATATTCAGAAATTGAAATCAAATTACAATAAAAAAATGAAATAAAAATGAATCTAAATAAGTGACGTCACATCAATTTGAATTTTTTAAACACCGGATTATTCGACAGAATTTTTTTTTTACATTTTAAATACAATTCATCGAAATTCGGAGTAAAGGTCATGTTTATAATGATATGACTATAATCATTTTGTCTCTTTTTCTCTAATTTTGTTTAATCTGCGTTTCGTTAAACAAACCAAAATTCATACCTTTATCCAATGTTTCTTCAACTGTCTCATCTTCATTGGGCTTTTTAATTTCGTCATTTTTGATAATTGTTGAATCCAATTTTGTATCACTCTCTTCATCTGGAAATTTTATTTTTTGTTTTAAAAAAAATTATGCTCAAAAATGACAATTGCTAAAAATACCTCTATCATTGGTATCCGAAGAATTCTTCGGATCTAATTTCGATTGGTTGTCATTTTTAGAATTATTTTCTTTGTCATTGCCACAGCTAATTTCGTTCGACTCTTGTTTAATCTCAGTTTTCGTTGGTTCTACTTCCTCCACCACCACCACCATTGATGATTGGCCACGGTCTTTTTCATTCACTTTTTCTACTGATTCATCTTCTTCTTTCACATTTTTACTAGGTTCCGATGGAGTTTCTTCCTTTATTTCTTCATCTTTGACCGGTGTGTCTGTGTTAGGTTTTATTTCAGTTGTGGTTTCTGTTTCGGCTATAGCAGAACGTTGTTCCGATTGTTCATCCTTGGCTTTATCGCTGGTCGATGTTTCTGGTGTGTTTTTCATCGTGTCTGGCGGTGGCATAAGTGTTTTATCAATGCCAGCATTTCGTGATGTTTTCGATTTTCGTTTTCCGCCCGTTGGCGTGAACGTATGAATCGGTGGCGTTACACAATTATATAATGCTAATAATTCCTCAATTGGCATATCTCCTTCCTATTTGATGAAAAATAGTTGAAAATTTAGGGTTGTAGGTATTTCATCATCTAACGAAATCACATTGTTTGATTTGCAAAATGGTTACTCACTTTTTGTAAACTATTTAATTCGGCATTTGGATCTTGTGCTTCGGTTGATGCCATTTTTTCTTCTAATTCGAGGGTGCTCTCATCATCAAAGTCGTTGACCATCATCTCCAATGATGGTTCGAATAGTTTGTCATCGCTGGTATTGGGATCGGTGCCACTGTCATCTTTGCTCGTACTTCGATTTCCCCTCGAACTGGACGCACTATCATTTGTGCTTTTCCTCGATGCCATTGTATGTCTTCTCAAAAATCACCAAAAATCTAAAGAACAAGAAAAAAGTGGCATGAAAGCGTCAGTAAATGGGGATAAAAATAATTGGCGGCAAAACAAAAACTCTTTCCATTTGTTAAAATCGACTCGCATAATCTATAGAAATTCATCAAGCAAAATGAGTCGCTTCTGACGAAACAAAAAGGCGCACAAAATTTTGTTGTTAGTTTATTTTCATGAGCGTGTGTCTTTACCTGAGCGAAATTCAATAGGACGCCTGTGAATGAATTCGGTGTATACACGGTCACACAAAATAAATATGCGAATAGATATATGCGAATGACAATTCCAAAATATACGACATATAAATCCTTTAGCAGCCTATGACTTTAAAATTATTTTCGAAATTCTTTGGATCGGGGAAATTTTTGTTTCGGTGGTGTGAATTGTTCTTATTGTTGTTGTTTATTGTCTTGTAGATTTTACTCACGCACGCTCTCTCTCTCTCACAAACAAACGAATATTTTTTTTTAAAACCGTCTAATGCATATTCGTTCGAAAAAATAATTGAATAAAAAAAAATTCTTTTAGCATTTAAAAAAAGAAGGGAAATGCACGCACATGTGAATTTGAAATATTGTTTACACTTCACTGAAACGTAAAATTTCGGATGTTTGCACGATTTGATGAAGCAATTGTTGTCGGTAATTTTTCTATGAGACAAACAAATTTTGTCAAACGATTCAGTGGTTGGCGATCAAAAACGCGCATAAAATAAAAGTCAAAACCGAGAGAGTTTTGTATACAAAATAATTCAGATTCAACTAAAAAGAAGAAGATATAGTATAATATCTTCAAACTTATACAAAAAAAAACACACAGAGTCACATACAAAACACACAAACACAAATACACAAATGCTTCAAGCATGCCATACAGACACTGGCTTCGATGAACAAAAATACAATAGATTAAATGTCAAATGGCATACAGTTTATATGCATTTTTCTACACACGCACACACACAGTCTCACATCGTGTGCAAATCGATTCGATGCCATCCATCAAATTCAAGCGTACCAACTTTCGTATATTCTAAATTTATTGATGAGCGCGCTCGTATTTCGGTACCACCAACACAAAAAAAATGAAACGATTTGCACAACCAACACACAACGTCAAATTCGACTTTTACACAAAACTTCAAACAGTGTATGACACATCGACAGATATCCAATAACATTTGTTGTCAGCAGCGCTCTGATTTATATTTCATTCGTACAGCACCCAAATTAGAAATATAGGTAAATATACTTGCATTGCTTTTGCTCTCGAATTTGGATTTAATATTTAACTTGGTTTTTTTGTGTGTTTTAGTTTTTTTTTTTAAATCTCCATCCAAAATGAGTGAAGACGATTCAAAAGTAAAATTCAAAGTAACGTTGACATCAGACCCAAAGCTGCCGTTTAAAGTGTAAGTGAAAGTGCATTTTAATCAAATGATTGCGATATGGTAATGAAGGTTTTTCTTTGTCTTTTTTTAGTTTTAGCGTATTGGCAAGTATTCCATTCACAGCTGTTGTGAAATTTGCTGCCGAAGAATTCAAAGTAGATCCAGCTACCACAGCTATCATCACAGAAGATGGTATCGGAATCAATCCACAACAAACAGCTGGAAATGTTTTCCTAAAACATGGATCAGAGCTTCGTTTAATTCCACGCGATCGGGTCGGCCACATCGATTTATAATCAGACATGACAATGGCACCAAAACAATTATCGAGAAAAAAACAAATCAAATGTGAAAATAGAAAAATCGAATTTTTCATGCATTCACAATATTTCTAATATGTTTTACCATGATTGTATGCTACATTTTTCTTGTTAATACGAAAATATCACAACAATTTATTTAAAAAAAACAAAACAAAATAAGTGCGTTAAAAATTGAATTTCATTTAAAAATGTTGTTGTCTTCGTCTGTAGTTTTCATAATGTTGTTGTGTTTCTCTCATACAGCAAAAAATGATAAACACATCGATACAAATTATGAGATAATAGATGTAGTGATACTTAAATCTTATTAAATCGAAATAAGAACTATATAAGTCACGTTTTCACGATGGTTGCACGCCAGATGTCTTTTGAGTTAAAAGTAAAAGGTATTTGTTTTTTTTTTTGTTCTTTGGAAAATTTCCATTTAAAAAAGGCAAAGAAAATGAGTTTTGCAAATAAGGTTATTTTAATAACTGGTGCCAGTTCCGGCATTGGAGCTGATGCTGCTGTTCATTTGGCTAAAAAAGGTGCTAGCATTGCTATGGTTGGTCGCAATCAAGAAAATTTGAATAGTGTTAGCGATAAAATAAAAAGTTTTGGTGCGCCGAATCCATTGATTATTGTCGCTGATGTAACAACTGGTGAAAGAATAATTGAAGAGACTGTCACTCATTTTGGACGATTGGATGTCTTCATTAACAATACTGGCATTGTGGCGCCTTATTCAATTCAAACAATAAAATTGCATGAATTCGATCGCATCATTAATGTAAATGTTCGTAGTGCTATTCATCTTTCACAATTGGCTGTTCTACATTTGGCAAAAAGTAAAGGAAACATTTTAAATGTTTCGAGTGTATACAGTACAGTTGCAAAAGCAAACACATTAGCCTATTGCATATCAAAAGCTGCAATGGATCAAATGACAAAATGTGCTGCATTATATTTGGCTTCAAAAGGCATACGGGTTAATGCAATCAATCCCGCTCACATTCGTATCCCAATAGTTGAAACCGGATTTGGTATGACACCACAGCAAGTAAAGAAATATTTTGGTTCTATGGAAAAATTGGCTCCTCTTGGTAGAATTGGTAACTGCAGTGGCGGCTTCGCATCTCACTGGAGTACTTTTGACTGTTGATGGCGGGGCGGTTATTGCAAATGCAGTTGCACAAAATGTGGTATTTTAATTAATTTGTTTTAATTCTACAAAATGAAAAAATAAATACATTCAATTTGAAAATCCTTTAGGCTTTTATGTTAGCATAGGTAATTTGATTATTTAAAAAAAAACCAAGCGTTCAGGATCGCATACATTTATGCGATAGATTGAATGATGCATGCATCATTTCATGCGCATCAAATAACGCTAACGCTGTCGTTGTACGTGCGGATCTAGTAGCACACGACGGTCTTGCTTTATTGAACATTCACATCATTACGTGTATCATATAAGCACGTGGTGCGCTGTCAGGTCCGTACTCATAGCGACATCGTTAGCGTTGTGTTTGCGTTATTTGATTCGCATCAAACGATGCATGCATCATTCAATGTATCGCATAAATGTATGCGATCCTGAACGCTTGAAAAAAACGCACACACATTTGAACTGTCACATTTCAAACAATACACAGATCCACAACACACAGTTGTTCACAGCATTGGAGGCGGTAGAATTGAAATGATTTAGAATTTCTGTTTTGCAGTTAGATCAACTTCACATACTTCATAAGATACAGGATTATTAACCCTCCTAGGTATAGAGGCGGTCCATTGGACCGAAATTTTTGAAAAAATTGAATAAAAATCGAAGTAAATTAAAAAAATTCAAAATTTCAATAATTCATGTACATACTGTTTCTATCATAAAATAATTGTATATGTTGTGGACATTTGATAAAACCAAATCTCACCTAGAACGTATAGTGGCGGTCCATTGGACCGCCCATACAAAATGCATGAAAACCTCATATAAACAGTAAAAAATAAAACAATTCAAAACTGTCAACAGTGCACATTCTGAATTTTGCGTTATAAAACGGTGCATATAGAGTAGATTCAGCAATGCAGCAAAGAATGAAAAAGAAAGAATTTGTGTATATGTGTATATAAGCTAAGAAACACAAATATGATTCGTTCGCTGTCGATCAAAAGTGTGGTTTCTGAAGATGAAATCAGTACATTTTATAACAGCACAAAAGGTGGCGTTGATCATTCAGATCAACTGTGTCATAGCTATTCATGTCAACGAGGCAGAAATCGTTGGCCTTTCTTCATGAACTTGATCAATGTATATGGACTCCACATTGTGGAGTCGCTGCTTTCATTGTTTATAATGCAAAACATGGAATTACACGAGATCGATATTCATTTCAACGCAAGAAATTTTTGATCGAATTATCGGAAGCATTGGTGTATGATCAAATAGCACGCAGATCTACTTATGGATTTAATAAAGCGCATCGAGCTGTACTCAGCACAGTTCAACAGCACCGTCAACTTCAACAACGCAAACCAAACAAGATAAAAAAAAATGTATGTCATTTATGTCCCACTAAAACCAATAAAAAGACGCGAACACAGTGCAGCAAATGTATGAAAAATGTTTGTGGTGAACTTTCCGAAAAAATTGCGATGTGTACGAACTGCACCAAAAAGCGTCCGTATGAAACTGCATCATCAGATTCCAATTGATTTTGTCATAAATTATTTATTTTCAACCTTTTTTCCCATTTAAAAAAATTTATAATGAAAATTTCAACAAAAAAAGAAATATAATTTTGTTCATTTCATAGACTTTTCATACATTTTGTATGGGCGGTCCAATGGACCGACTCTATCCGTTCAAGTTTTTTTTTCACTCTATACCTAGGAGGGTTAATCAAGTTTTACATTTAATATAACACAATTTTATTTTGAAATTCAAACTTAAATCAAAAGTACATTCATGCAAAAATGCTTATAATTACTTTATTGGATATTTTTACTAAAAACCATCATTTTTTTACTTGCTAGTAAAACTAGTAAAATTTGCGTCCTGCAGCAAAATCAAATGCTTTATTCCAATCGCGTGTTCTTTTTAATTCAAGCATTATGCTCATCGTTTGATCTAATGTCAATGCTTTATTCATTCGACATCTACGATACTGTTCCAAGGGAAGACGTGCATGACGAATATTCAATTCTTTTGCCTTAGCAATTGATAATGGTTTTTTATCACCGCGATCAACAATGCTGCTAATTACGTAATGATCATCGTTATTGTACTCTCTTAATACGTTTGGCAAATTTGGCGTGAGTAAGACGAGTTTTTCTTTCGGAAAAACTTCCGATGCATCAGCTTTGTGTATTCGGAGTGGTAGCGGTTTAGTAGTAATTGTTGGGATTTTTTTTAGTAGTGATGACCATAGCATACTTTGTTTGTCCATGCCACAAAAATTAAGCTCGTATGACTGAAAATGTCGACGATTATTTCCAAAGGCTATTGTCAATTGTTTAGCCACTTCGTTATTTTCACGTGGCGTCATGTAGTGTGAATAACTACAATCGTATATCAGTTTTGGGGCGCCCAAATGTTCATGCCACAATGTTCTGTAATAAATGTGTTTTTTTTTTTAATTTTAAATATTGAATCAGTTGAAAATTCACAACAAATTTACCGCGTATTCCTCCATTTGTCAATTGTTCGGCCGTGAATTTTTGGTATTAAAGCATTTTTGCCAAATCCATATTCGATGTATTTTTGATCACTTGCTGGTTTTTCTTCGTCAAATACACCCATTGAAGTCTTTTCTTCCTGGATTTTTTCCCGAATATTATCTTTTCCCTATGAATAAAAATGGGAGTGTTTTATTTTTGAAAAAAAAAAAAAATTCGATGATATATTTTGTTCATTTAGTTAATTTGTACATACTGATTTGGAGGCGATTGATGCTTCCGTTTTATTTAAATAATTGTAATATTTTATACGTTGATTATTTGATAGATTCATAAGATGTTGGACGTTGGTAGTGAGATATTCTACTGTTGGCACACTTTCAGCTTGATCACGTTTCAATGTAACCTAAAATTGAAATAATATTAATTTTCGAAATAAAAACACGAAAATTGTCACATATAATTACTTCATTTTGAAAGAACCTTATACGATTTTGTTGTGCCTCATCCAGCGTAGATATCCACTGTTGTACCTCATCGGGATTCTTAGAATAGAAACGTAACTGACTTGATACAGCATGTATAACGTTCCATTTTGAAGCTACTTGAATTCGCGTTGACAATAACATTGTTCTCAACATTTTCTTTCATTCAAACCTTACTAAACAACAAACCTTAGAAAAAATATTTAATATTCTTATTAAAACTTGAGCCAAACGACACTGTCTTAACCTATAGATGTCCGAGTATTAATAAAATATCATGATATCTTAATAGTTACTACTGACGAATGCTTCATTAACTATTAAAACGAATTTTAATACGAGTATCAACATGAGTAGCGTATATCAAGATCGATTATGATACGGCGTATCACAATGAGTATCAAGTATCATGATACCGAAGTTAATACGCGCCATTTGCAATTTTGCATGGATTTTAATTTTTAGTTGTGTGCTAATAGAATGTCGTTTGTAAACATTCATACAAGAGTGAGTGAGACACCATGAATATCTTATTTTACCAAGCACGATTTGGGTGACACAGATGACAAATTTTTACGTTCTGATCACACCAGATAATGTAGACCACTTAGTTGTGTTTGAGAATTGAGAAAAAAATGTATTTTTTTCACGTTTTGTGTCCTATACCGAGTCTCCGAGAGTTTCATATAAGATCGCCATGTAGATGATGAAAAATCGCGAAAAATGAAAAAAATAATTAATTTTTTTTTTCTTCGATTTACAAATACTATTAAATTTTCTGTATCATTTGGTGAAATGTTACTAAAATGTCTAACAATTGAACGAAGAATGTAATTTATCAGCAAATGTTTTTACCGATGAGAAAGTTAAATTTGGTGAAGAAAATCTTCAGAGAAGTTTGACATTTTTCATACAATACCTTTGTGTTTCGCCAAGAAAAAGAGATAATGGCAACAAATATTACATCTTGATGAAAAAAAAATAGCAGAAAAAGTCTTCAATATTTGAGTGTTTTTGCTTCGAAATATACAATATTTTGTTTTTACAAATTTGACGGATTTCAACACAATCGCAAGATTCATTGAATTGATTGTTTATATCGAATGATTGCTGACTTCTGTATCTGGTGTTTGGCATACAATATAAGACCATATTTCAAGACGTCGCATCGAAGACCGGCTAATATTGTGCTCTTGAGCTAGCTTTCTGGCACTCCTTTGGCGATTTCGGCGAATTTTGGCTTTGACTTGTTTGATGAGTTTTTGTACGAACGGATCTTTTTCTCCCGGGTTTCTTTTGTAAGTCGACAGTTCCACGTTCCTTGTATCGTTTGATAGTACGTTCAATAAATGTCATGCAAACCTGTTCGTTTTGTAGCTGTCGGAAAATATCAATGTTTCGAAAACCACGTTTGTGCAAATTTAAGATGAGTTGACGTTTCACATCCATTGTTATTGCGCCTCAAATAAACAATGAATCAAAATACACATTATCATAATAGTTAGACTAAGGATCAACAAACATAGCGGTGCAAGACCGGGTGAATCAAAAGTCATTGTACAGTCGTAAGAATGTTAAGTGAAAACCTCTCAGTTATTCTGGCCCACCCTGTATATTGATATGCACTGCATCTGAAAGTCGTTAGAAATGCTTGCGTATATACAATTCAAAGACCTCATCACAAAAAGTATTAAATAGTAATAGTAAAATTGTAAAAATGTTCAGATGTAATGTTGTTACCTTAAATCATTTGTTGATCTGCATTATTGGCGTCGTTATTGTTCGTAATTCTGTGATATTATCGTAACGATATGTATCATACCCACTAATTTCAACGATGGATCTCTCTTTTATGTAGATGTCGTCTTTCTTTTCAGCCAACCCTATTGGACAATCGTTGAATCGTTGGCCCAAGTGGTAATGGTTTCTTAAGTGTAAGCACAGCTAAATCATGACTTGTTCCATTAACATATGAAGGTAATGGAGGTTGAGGACGTTTTGTATACCAATAAAAACTAAAATTATCAAGAGGATAAAAAATGTACCTAACACTATCTACATATACTAGTCTTATTATTCCACCACTTAATCTTTCTGTTGCACCGACTCGAACCGAAATATTTTCGAATAACCAATATACATAGGTGAAAATTCACCACAACACTCAATATATTGCATACATTTGTAAGATGTAACAATTTGAGTGGATGAGATTATAATTCCGTTGCATTTAGTGGGTCCTTTCGCAAGTAGGATGGCAGCATTAAAGCAGATTCTTGACAAATCAGACTCTAACACTCGAGTATAATTTGCATTATCTTCACACTTTATTGTAGCAACGAATTGCAATCATTTGTAGTTTATTGTACTTTTGAAAAACGAACCCAAATTACCCAATATAAATTGAATTCAATTGAAGAAGGAATCAGTTAGAGTTTTTTTTATACAAGTTCAAGTATGCAAGATGCAACCGTATATACAACACAATATAATGGACAAATTTCCGAGTTTGGAGATAATAATTATTAATTATCGACTTAAGTCGCATTCAATTATTCCATTAGAAAATTGTTCGGATTTTATTCTCCTATTATGAAGAAAAGAAGTGATCGTACATCGCTTTTTATCATATTAGTGCCACTATTCGTTGTTCGATTGTAATCGTGTCCGATTTTTCACAATCGGATCGGACACGATTATAATCAGACGCCTGGGAAATAGAGCCTTAAGGGGCGGAAAAAATTTAAAGGGGTGGGGGGTCCATCGGCTAATCAAAAACTCTGGCAAATCGAAAGAATTTTTCTCTCGAAATACCATAACAAAACGGGATCTTTTCGTTTTTTTTGGAGATCACTTTTTGACGAAAATCCCTAGCAAATTGAAAGATTTTCTCCCAATAGCATAAAAAACAAGGTCTTCAATTTCCAATGAAAAATCCCTAGCAATTCGGAAGATTTCTCGGCTGCCCCCGATGGGTGGGGGGGTGTGTTAGCTCAGACGATTTAAGAGGGGAGTTATCTGGGCTTACACCCCCTGTGCCCATGTATGGCCCTAAGCGAGATTTAGCGGGCTATATCTGACACCTTTTTTACGCACTCATATTTATGTCAATTTTAGCTCGGACAAACGGGCTCTGAAAATACGTTCAAACCCAATATGGCACCTGCACAGAGCTACTTAACAATAATCCAAAAAGATCATCAAAACGGTAGCCTAATTCATAAAAATCAAACGCATTCTCCTCAAAGCCAATGTATTTTATATTGAATACATTCGAACGCGTTCATCGTATTATATGGAAAAGCCGAACAATCGTCAGTCGTTTTTCAAAAACATTCGCTTGGTTCGATTGTAGTGGCTACTGAACAGAAAAAGAAATAAAAAAAAATGTTCACAATTAATATTAATTAAGCAAACAAAAATGTAATGTTTTTTATCTATTTTAACGTTGAAAAATGTAACGCTTTCACCCATTTCGGTGGTCATTTTCGTGTCAAATGGAAAGTAGATTATAGGCATAAATAGTTTACAATCGATATCAATTTTCTATAGAAAAAAATGATGATTTTTCAACTGTTCTTATAAGACTTCTTCAAAGAGCTAACGTTTTTGTTTTACAGTTTTGGATGCCTTTTCGGAAATGTTGGTGGAAGTGGCTATTTCAGACGCTGAAGAATATCCATGAACATTACATTCAGTTTTGCTTTCGTTGGTTTACATACATTTCTATACACACATAGTATGACTTTGTATGATACAGTTTCTTACTACTTCTTATGTTAATAAACAAAACGATTGGCAAGCGAAGCGAGTGAAAAGGATGAATAAACAAAAAATTCATGGTTATTGAATTTTTGTAAACATTATCGTTATAAGCGTCGTATTTCTTTTCACTCATTGTTTAGATGTATAGAATGGTGTTGTTGTTGTGCGTTTGAAGAAAAAAATCAACACAACATTTCAATGTGAATAAGTTTTCATGGAAAAGAGCATGCGAATGTGTTGTGTTCAAGTAACTCAGATTCGGTTTTTGTATTAGTATTAACACATCGCATCGGCATCTCAATTGAATTTGTATGACATTTGTTGTTGGTCACATTGCCCATTTACAGAATTTAGTTGCTGTCACAACGAAAATCGCATTGGCCCTCATTTTTTTGTTAATTATTTCGCTGCTTTTGGCTTTTATTTTGCTTGATTCTGTTCAGTGATTGTTGTGCGGTTAATTAGAAATCTAGAATCATTCGCAAACATTGTGTTCGGCATACAATCAAATAAAATCATCATTTATTTTCCGCTCATTCTCAAATCAATATGCATTTTTGTGCGATTTTAAAATAAATGGAAGCATTTACGGTGAATTTTGAGTTTGCTTCTGTTTTTAGTTTAAAATAACAGAACATCCACAAAATAGCAACGTAAAGAAATCCAAATTTCATCACCATTTGTGTCAATCGTTCGATCAACGCAGTGAATTTGTTTATTGTATTTTTTGGTGAATGTTGCTTCATTGTTTCTAAGAAAGAGAATTCATATCAAAATGTGAAATTCGAATGATCCAAATTGGAATGAAGTGTGCTTGAAAATTGTCACATCATCAAATTGAGGCACACATTTGTAACGCAACGAAACGATGATTTAAGACTGTGTGATAAACTGCAAGGATTTTTCGCAAACGAGAATCATTTTGATCTAGGGGTTTGCATGTATTTTTATTCGATGATATTTGCTTTCATATCGGTGAAAGATCGGCATATCTGTAAAATATCGTTAATATTCGGGTATTTTTTGATACTTAATTGTTCTGGAAGTGGGTTTTGGTGGATCCACAGGATCATCAGAACCGCTCCCAGTTCTGGAAGTGGGTTTTGGTGGATCCTCTGGATCGACCAGACCATGGTTTGACAATGCCCTGACCCATCCTGAGGGTCCACTTCCAGACCTGGGAGCGGTTCTGAACGATCCTGAGGATCCACCAAAGCCCACTTCCAGAACAAAGACACTTCGCATATCGGCGAATATCGGTGGATTTTTGGCACAAAATAGTGAAATCGGTAAAGATTTGCATGATTTGTAAAAATTTGTATTATTTGTTATACTGTTGTTTATTCGTCGAATTCGTGAAAGAAAATCTTACATGAAAACCCCTAGATTTTGATCGTTGACAGTTTCAGTTCAGACAACATACTCGTTGGGTGAGGTTCAGAATATAAAGTGCATACGATCGATTTGAAACAAAAGAAAGGTGAAAACTGAAGCGCAAGAAAGAAGGAGAGTATGAAAACACACAAAATAGGACCGTCAAACAAACCCTGAACACCATTTTGCGTCAAAAATTTCGCAAAAGTTTTCGTATTTTAGTGTTCACATGGTGCCTCGCAGCAACGCGCATTTCCACACTGGCCTCATTGTTGCTACTTTATTACGCAAACAAAGCCATCGACCAGGATGAATGCGACGAAAATACAGACTTTTTCGATGGCAATGGCAAAGAGGTAATTTATAATTACTTCCACGATGTACTCTACGGAAACCATCAAAATTTGCCGTTTGAATTTTTGTCGATCGTGAGACGAGCCTGTCCTCGTTTTATTTGGCCCCATCGTCATGGCATGGGAAATGCATTCAATGCAATTGTCGATCAATACATCAAGAATGTTCAAACCAATCTTAACACCTGGTGCAAATCCCACATAAAGAAGCTTTTCACTATGAAACAATACGAGTTGAATCGAATGCTACGGATTCATAGTACTGATGAACAGTTAATCACAGACAAAGATGTGAATCATGCTGTGTCTGCTGTAGTACATCAATATTATGCACGAACAACAGGAATTCGAACGCACAACATGTATATGTTGTCAAAGAAAACTGGTTTGCGTCACTTCGTTTTTTCTTGAAAATTCAACGTGCGATCGACGAATTTCATCGAAATAATAATTATCTGTGTTCATTGTGGGAGAAATATCGAAACAATCGTAATTTGCCAAAGCCATCTGAGCCCGCACCACCGAAAATAGGAAATTTCAATGCAATTCCAATATGCGACAACCAACTAAAACACATCAGCATTGATCACACGCAATTCTATTTCATGGCATGCAAAATTGGTGCACTGAAAAGACGTAAAGGAAAACATGGCAAAATTAACATCAGCTATGCGGAGTACAAGGAGAATCCATTTTCCTGTTGGAACTACGTATTCGACATGCACAAAATTAAGAAGCTCGGCAAAGGAAAAGAATTCGCATTTCTCGCTCTCACCGACAACGTGGCAGTGTCATTGGTGTACATCGAACCAAGAAAACCTGAGTCGACCGGATTATCATGGGAACGAATTCGTCACATGTTCGAAGTTCTCAAGTGTTTCGTTTATGAAATTGGCATTGATCCGGGTTTTCGCACATGGAATGCCACTGTTCGTCGTCACATTGAAACCGACACAGAGGTAAATATTTCAAATGTGTTTTTTTGTATCCCCAGTTATTAGTGATTTTGATGTGTTGAATTGATTGTATCGAAACAATGCCATATTCATTCAATTTATTTGTATGGTTTTTTTTGTCGTTTTTGTGCTATAGGAAAACATCACCGTTGACGCAAGAGAATACCACTGGCTGGCTCGATACAATCAGAGCGAGAAAAAAGGAAAAAGATATCGAAAGGAATTCCAGGAAGAGGAAAGAGCGCACATGGAATCGTTCATTTTCATGCCATCTCCAAAAGGAAAATTTGTTTGGAAATTTTACATCGAAACTCGAGTCGCAATGATGGACAAAGCCCTTGCTGTGTATTCGCAACGAAAATATGTTCGGTTAAAATTCGATCATTACTCTGATTCTGTTCATGCAAGTGATGAAACAGCCAAAATGTTGACAAATGGAAAACCAACTATGGCATACATCGGTGCTAGTGGTAGTGCTGCGAACTCACCTATCGGCATTAAATAATGTATCATGTACAAAGGTAATCGAAATTGATTTATTAGATTTTGTTTGAATGTTTATTATTTGGTTCGTTGTGTTTTCAATGATAGGACATTGTGAGGTGTTCGGTGAAGAAATCCATCCATCACTGAAACCACCTCATGCCCAGCTACCTGATGAGCCAGCCGATGAAGACGACAATTGGTACGACGAATGGTTCTATGAGAACTACGACGAGTGGTACAACGAAGCGGATAACGGCGAAGGCATTTGGGAGGAAGACCAGTTTGGAAATATCATCGTGCATATGCTTGACAATTAATAAACAAACACCGACGTCATTTAGTATTAAGATTAGAAAAAATAATGTAACGAATGTTACTTAGCTAGGCTTGATTTAGTATACATAAGTGTGCTATCTGTGGCCTTGCAAACTAATTAGATAATAATTAGGTCTTGATGAATCCAATTTTGGATCATTGAGATAGTCGTACAACTGCACCGCGTACATCTCGTACGTTTGTAGGTGAGTAGAGTTCATTGAAAAAAGCGCTACTGATAACTATGAATCAAATCAACTTTTATATTATACTAATTGATTTTTTTCTCTTTTTCTCTTCCATTGGTGACGTTGAATATGACTGAAACTACACACAAATCCGGGCCCAATTTTGACTGTGAACATATGCCTGGAATGGATGATTTTGCGCCAACAATTGTTCCATCATTTGTTTTTTTAATCATCTCTGTTTATTTATTTTTTTATAATATACCTATATAAGAATTACATAATTTGTTTTTCCTTCTTCTTTTTCTTTATATTCAATGAAAAAATGGATTCAACAGTTGATTCTTTTTTTGTTTTAATCAATATGAACATTAGAACATTACAAAAAAAAAACTGTGACGGGAGGAGAAAAAAGATCAATAAATTGTTTGTTGAATTACCAAAAAGAAAACAGATTGTAATACGAAAAATGTCCTAAGAACAAATCTAAATTTTTAATTTTCGAACATTTTACAAATTTTCTTTGAATATATCCAATTTGTGTTTTTTTCTTCTCTCTTTCTTCTTCGTTTTTTTATTCATTAAAAATAAGTAAATAATAGTGTGAGAAAATATACTTTGAGTTGTGAGTGAAAGGCGATTTTGGTAAAAAAATGTGTTTTTTTTTTCTTCATAAATTTAGTAGGTGATTTTTTTTTTCATTCTCATGTCAAACATTTTTTTTTCATTTTGGAAACAAAAACTAGGGGTATTACGACGAGCAAAACAATTTTTCTTTCATTTTTGAGTTTTTTTTGTTTGTTTTCAAAGTTTCTCACTTTTATTTATCTTCAATAACGTTTAACATTTAATAAACAAGAAAAAGAATTCAACGCGCATTTTTTGTCTTATTCAATTCTTCTTTTCACTTCTTTTTTTTCTCATCAATGAAATAGGGATATATGTTTCATTTCATTTTCATACCAATTTGCGTTTATCATTTTTTATGGGGGAATCCATATTTTCTCTTCTTTGTTTGATTAGTTACATTGTTGTTGTTGTTATTGTTTTTGTCTTTTGAAGTCATTGTATGGTGTTGTGGATGTGTGTGTGTGTGTGTGTCTTTTGGTCACCGGGATGATGAGAGGGAATAAAATGAACTACATGAAAATGTATGATACAAGTGCATCGAAATGCGCATACAAATGTGCGAGTGAAATAAAACATTTTTTTTGTTGTTGCACGTATTTGCATTCGCATTATGTTTTTGTGCGCGTTTTAAAACGAAAATTGCACGAATTTATCAGCCAAAATCTCATTGATACTGTCTCTGGGTATGGAAAATAATTCGGTAGTTGCGATGAATTAAAATTGAATCGGTCGACAAATGTTCAAATCAAAAAATGAAAAAATTTAAAATACAAAACAAGACGTAAAATAAAAGACTTGAACATATGGAGACAGAAGAAAATGTTAATAAATTTTGATGCATGTGTATGTTATACACATAAATTGTAAAAAATTCATCGTTTTTGTATCATCTTATTTAACGGGGAAATCTCACGAAACGATTATATTATATATATATCTATATGTAAAACAGAGTTATCAACAAACCAATGAGTTTCATTTGAAAATTCAAATAATCTCGATGAAACGAACACAATTTTGAATACAAACGCCTATGAAAAGGAACAAAAAAAAACTGTTTCGAAACGTATTCACTAGATTCTTTTCTCTTTTCACAAAAGATTGAAAATTTTGCTCAGGTCAGAGTGGAGATGTGGCGTGATTCGTTGAAAACTCTGAGTTAAAGCCTTACTCCTTTTTTCGATTTGGTTTTGAATGAAATTATAAGCGGAAACAAATAATAGACAGTTTGGAATTGCTATGCGATCAAAAATGGTGGTTGTAGCGAAAAAAGGCGTAATACTTGATTTTACTCACTGACGGTATTTCGTTGAATAAATCAAAAACGTGTTTTTCCTTACTTTTTTTGTTTCAAATTTGACGTTTGCGGCTTTTAAGCGCTTGTAGTTTTGTTCACATTTTACACACACCGATTATGACATCTTTTTCCATAAATTTTGTTTGTGATTTGATTGAGTAGTGTGCTTTCTTTTTTTTACTACACATAATTACAATATATTTCTATTCATAAAATCTTTTTTTTTCACATTGTTCCTCCTGCCCATGAATTGGTTCTAAATTTCTCCCTTTATCTCATTTTTTTAGTCAATTTGACGATTTTATTTAACTTTTTCTGTTTGTAATTTCTCTCTCTTGGTTTTTTTGTTAATCTGTGTGATTGGCTTTACAGTGTGTGAATCCATTTGAGTTTTCACTTTTCGAATTTTTTTCTTCTTATTTAGCTTAAAAATTGTGTGTTTTTTTAATTCTTCTTTTTCTTTGTAATTTTTTATGATCATGTTATTTTATTATGATTTGTATTTCATCCAATTTATTTTAAATTTTGTGTTGTGGATTCTCTTTTTTTAAATTTGTATGTGGTTTCTTTTTCTGAATGAGATTTTATGTGTAATGCATGTGTTTGTTTTGTGGTTGATGGTTAATATGTGACTTCATTTGTGTGTGTTTGTGTTTTGTTTTGTTTTCTCGTCTTGCAGCAATTACAATTTATAAAATCACACACAACGTTTTTTTCTTCTGCTTCTGCTTCTTTTCCGGTGATTTCTTATTTATTTGTCTCACTAAGTCATAAAATATCTGCGGAAGAAAGGCGATAAAAGAAATTTTTCATTATTTTGGAACTTGACTCATGAATAAGCGATGACTTTTTTGTAGTGGGAGTTGAGTCTGTGATAATTCAAGCAAAAATCACTTACATCGTTAACATTAATTTTAGCTTTGGCTGATGTTTCCATAAAAGCACAATTGAATTGATTGGCTAAACCTTTTCCCAAATCCTTGCCGACCACTCGTTCTTCTTCTAAATCGCATTTGTTGCCTACCAGTACCATCGGCACATCATCGGTATCCTGAAAACGTAGATGAAAAATGCATTGTTTGAAAAAATATATGTCTCATTTCCGTCAACAAAATTGAACATTAATTGAAAATTTTGGCTTGAGAGAACCGCCAGAATCATCGCCGAATTGAAATCACTTACTTTGACACGCAATATTTGTTCCCTTAGATCTTGCAAATCATTAAATGTTGATTGTGCGGTAATTGAATACACTAAAACAAATCCCTGGCCATTTTTCATGTACAAGTCACGCATTGCTGTGAATTGTTCCTGTATAAAATTGAAAAAGAGAGAGAAAGAGAATGAGTAAATGTTAGCTGTATGATATGAATTTATTTGATTGATAGCGATGGGTGCTTGTGAAGAGTGTGAGTGTATATTTACCGTTCCGGCTGTATCCAGTATTTCGAGCATGCATTGTTGTCCATCAACTTCGACTTGCTTCCGGTAGCTGTCCTCGATGGTTGGATCGTATTTCTCTACAAAAATTCCTTGAACAAATTGCACTGTGAGCGCTGATTTGCCAACACCACCACTACCCAGAACGACAATTTTATATTCACGCATCTTTTTGTCTTTCTTTTCTTTAATTCAATTTCCACTTGTTCAATAATTCAAATTCAATAAATGAATGTTGTGCCAATGATGATCGTTTTTGTTGTTGTTGTTGCTACAATTGCCTGTTGCTCAGTGTGTTCTATCGTACACTTTTTGGTCTGCACTTCCGGTACTCTTTTTCTCTCCGATCACAATCACAACGGATCACCCCTTCACGGTCTATTATGGATGGGTGTGTTTTGTGTATGTATGTGTATATCGTCTCTCAGTCCAGTAAATTTCGAATGGAAATAATTACGTTTCACCAGTCCAAGCTGAAATCTGTCACACAGAGAGAGTGAGAGAACAAAAGAAAAAGAAACAAATTAAATAAGCAACGATAAAGAAACGACATTCAATGAATAAAACATTACACACTGTGCAGATGCACTTCAAACAATAATTCATTTAAAACTCGAGAATAAAAACAAAAATCTCTCTCGCGCACACACACGCACACCATTCAATCGACGACAAAAAAAAACAACAACAACAACATGATTAAATAAAAAATAAAAACACTTTGTAAACAAGGAGCGGGACGGATGTAAATTAGATAAACGTCCAACCGCAGTGGCGAACAATTTGAGTTTGTGCGCACGAGAGTTGAATTTGAATTAGCTGAAATAATAATATGACGCGATAAAATAAGAAGAAAATGAAAATGTTATTCATATAAAAAGAATTAAAATTTCACTCGCATAAGTTTGACCTCTCTGTATATTTTCTGCCTCTATTTTATTCACAATCTCTCTCTCTCTCTCTCTCTCTCTCTCTCTCTCTCTCTCTCTCTCT